TTTCATCTTAAGTACACCCGTGACGTAGAAGAGTGATGTGAGTTCGGGTATATTTTGAGATGAAGGGTCGTTTTGAATGTCCCTGTATTTAAAATAATTTAGTCTAGGGGAAAAGCTGTGAGTGCTGGGAATCTGCTTAAATTGCAGGGGTTGGGCAAAATATGTTACAAAAACTATTCCTTCAAAAAATGCATTGTAGATGCAATGTGTAAGTAGTGAAAACTGTTAATAATTTTGCTCTCTATACTTCTAGGATACGTGTTAGATTCACATCAGCAAGATGATTTAGAATATTCGGCCTAAAATCCGCGTAGCTTAGCGCATACGTCAGGATCAAGGTATATTAGTATGGTTTCAAATATTATTCGGAATTGTAGCTTTGGCGAGGAAATATTCGCAATTATTTTGGATTCGATAATCGGAATGCCTGGATGGAAGTATATGTTACGTGTAACTTGGGGGATTAGAAGCACTTAAGCTGTAACATGACCAACACATCAGGAGTAAGATTTAGTTGTGCCGTTCAGATATTCTTCTTTTTGGTGGGACTTTACCTTAAGCATCTGTAGTGTTTTCAAAACATTTTTGAAAATGACTGCAAATGTGTTATTTACATTTTGATCGAATATAAGAAAAATAATTATCAATGAGGTGTATTTCCGAAATCCATGAAAACTTAAATTTTAAAGCAGGATCTATTTGTGCGGCCCGCGACTGCTTTGAAAGATTTTATTATACCCACCAAATACATTTTTTAAAGTTATTCTGTTATGCATTATTATAACTGTAATAGTAATTTTCTCGTATGTTCATTGATCATTAAGTAAGTTAAATGAAAGTCGTATCTATTATATGTTTCAGTATAATATCAGTAGTTATGGTAAAAACCGTCTTAAATTACGGTAAGGCCCATGGCTTAGCTAAAATTTGGTATGTGCACTATAAGCCCTTCTAAGTTGGACAGCCCTGCTCTAAAGGACTAAATTTTCGGTATTTTCAAACATATTTTAATATGATACATTGTAATGCTGGCTATGACACACATTGTAGCTTGTGTTGTTATGTTTCTCTTGTACTTTTCACATATAACAATTCTTCACTGCGTGGTGTGTAGTAGCTTAGTACAGTACCTGCTTGAGTAGTGTTTCCTAAGTACGGTTCTGAGGTTTGGTTTAAACACTGGTCTGTGTGTCTCCTTGATATACCATTACTGCGACTGAGTGCATTCGTCGTGGTCGGCTCGCAGCCTACTTTTCACGGAAGTTGACAATGTTTGTGCACGAAGTGTATCGGCAAAATAAAAGAGACTACAAGCTCAATGATTAAATCATAAACATTTTACTTTTGTAAGAAAGTCAATCGTATTTTTCTACTTCACATCTATAATTATTGCTTGGTTTTTAAATTATAGAAAAAAAGCTAATTTTTCTTAAGTGTTTTTAAGAGCTTAGAAAGGACCTGTTCATAGATGTACTGTAGTAAATAGATCCTATCTCTGAAGACTTATGTTTTTGGTTTGGTCATTTATTGGTTTAAGTTGTTAGGTTCGGCAACCTGTTATAAACGTCTTTAATATTGTGTTCTCGAACCATTGAAGAAACTACAAATCATTATACAAGGAGTAGACTAAATGAAAATCAGAAGATACACAAAAAATTCAGCAAAAGAATCTTAACGGAATAGCCACTCTCAAATGGCCACATACATGCGTTCATTAAAGAGTGTTGATTCGACAGGCATCAAAATATAGGTCTCACATAAACATACCTCAAGGGTTTGGTGGGATCCGGAGAACCCCCGGATCTGTTGTACACCAGTGGTGCCGGGTTTTGTCGTTGTTTTATATATATTTAAGAGCAAAATAACATTAAGTCCATTGGGTGTGCATATGTACTTCTCTAATTGAAAAAATCAGGCCTTTTGAATTTCCCTAAGAACCGGATGAAGTATATCTTTTTTTCAATTACCTAGCTATTTGTCACTCTCATTGCAACGATTCCAGACCTCTTCAGAGTAATTGGAGAATGTGCACTTGTTTGGTCAATGAGCCTAATATCATCCGTCCTTATTCCAAAAAACATCTAATTCCAGCGTATTTACAACGAGGTTGGGCCCTCATACGCCTTTCTAAACCTGTGACGAAAAGTTCCCCTTCTATAACTCAGTTGTTCAGTAGCTAATACATAGCTTCAACTTGCGCCTGATAGTGTGTAGTGTTGTTTGATATTTACCCTTAAATTGAAGCAAACATTAAACGTCTACAGAATTTAAACTTTTCATTCGAATAATCACCAAAAATAACCGCACACACGTAAATTCTGATTAGTGATTAAGCATTATCTAAATACAAATATATAATCGTTCTCTAAAAGGTAATCTACTTTCGCTTAGATTTCGAAGAAATTCACTAGTTTATTGTATTATTCTAGCATTAGTTATTTTTGTTAAAAAGTGATGGAATAAACAAATGCTTTCAAAATGCTTGTTACAAAATAGAACTTTCTTAAGAGCATTTAGTATGATTGCAGTTTCTTATGATATATTCTTATCCTATTTGTTCAAGTTCTTCTACCTTATGGATATGTAATTCACCCCACCGCAATTTGAGAACACCAGTGCACCGTCGCTAATTAGCTTTAAACGATTCTGAGCTCATTGCAATAAACCTGAAAAATATAAGGCTAATTGTGAAAAGCTGTACAATTTTCCAATTGGCTAGGCGCTATTCAAAATGACGGCGTTGTTTCTAATAAGCTGGACTTTCCAGTTTGCCTTCCACGCATATATTCCATCCGTCTTTGTTGCACCATGAGGCGTGACAAACATAAGGCGTGAATGTGAGCGGTAAGCGGCTCCAGAGCTATCGCCATGCCGGCGTGGTGCGGTGCGGTGCAGTGCGGCGCGGCTCCTGCCAAACCGCTGAGCGAGCTCAGTCGTATCTCTGGCTCGCCCACGTGGGGCACCGCGCTCGTCGCAGGAACGTCGCGTGGCTCGCGTCGCTTGGCGTCTTGGTCTGGCCGCGGCGCTCCTCCGCGCACCGCGCCGCGCTCTGCGGGCCGCCGGCGGCAGCGCCCTCCACTTTCGCCGCTCGTTTAATTGCTCTCGCCGGAGAATGCGCCCCGGGCCCCCGCCGGCGACGTTTAAAAAATTCCTGCCTCCCCTCCCCCGACCCCTGCGCCGCGCTGCCGTGGCCGCGATCCGGTGCTCTGTACGGGTGGATGCAGTGCCTCCCATGGATGCGATTTAATTGCATTGGAGGAGATGCGATGGCGAAGAATACACTTGTTTTAAGAATTTCAATAATTTTGCTTCCATGGAGGTGCGTTGGGCAACGTACAAAAGCGTAGTGCATGTGTGGACGGTTAGTTTCTCCACTTTCAGAGTACTCTTTCTGACGCCAATGTTGCAATTGCATATTTCGTTACATTTGATCTAAAACTAGGGCTAATTCATAATAGAAAATGTTCAGTTTTCGTCGAAATTATTTCGTATGATATTTTGAAATTCGATATTGAATAATCTTGATGATTAAATTCTTGTCGAATTATCTTTTATTATTTGTAGCTTAGATCGGATTTGAATTTTTCTTAATGAGAAGTACACGTTAGGGAATCCATGAACATCAGTCATTCCAGGTTAGCGGTCTTATGCAGTTAGTTTTTAGGATCGTGGGGTTTGTGAAATTAATTCTTTTTGAAAACGTATTACTTTTCATTATTTTTTTCGCCCCATAAAGCTAACTTTCTGCTTACTCTTTCAGTTCAAACATTCCATTCCATAATTTTTTTAATTTATTTCATGCCTTACAATCATGACTCACTGCGAGCTATAAATGGTTCTCACTTGTTTTTTGTGTCAGCGAGAGCATTGAACTACGTTTGAGATTCCAATCGAGGAACCTCCTCGAGGGCTGTTGTTTGTAAGGCATTCCTTGGAACCAGGCTTCTCACGTAGCGGTCACCACTGAACCAGGGTCCTTCTACTGCGGGCGCAGGCAGGTACACTAGCGTGGGCGATGAGATAGGGCGATGAGGTAGGGAGTCGGACCCCGTCCTTTTTTTGGTTTCGGCGCGGCCGGAGGCTGCGGGCCGCTGGCCCCGCCCCCATGGTGTCACTGCGGTCGTGGGAGGTGGCGGCGGCGCTTGTTAGCCGTTCCCCTCCATGCGCAGGCGCTTTCGGCGGCCGCCTCCGCCCACCGTCCTCTCCGCACGGGCCCATTTGACGGTGCTCTCTGGGCAGGTCGAAGTAGTAGTAGTAGGATAATCTCTCTTTCCTGTTGGTGTCATTTCTGCTGTTTCCAATCATCGGAGCGTATTACAAATAGTGGAAAATTGTAAAATAAGATCATGTTCTGGTTATGAGATTTATGTTCTTGTGACATAACTGACATCTTTCACTTGGTAAAAAATCCGAAATCTGGCATGACACCATAGCATATTTTAGTCTACTTTCATGTCCACTCATCACAAGTTTTCAGATTCTATTGGTATTGCAGGGCCTTATACTATCTTGAATTACTGTTGCGCAAGGACGCTCTTCTTCAAGAGTTGTCCTGTCGTTATATTTGGAAAGGATGTCGTGACGTTATAGCGGTTTTTTGTTATATTCCACATTCGAGTTTAATGCTGAATACTATACTGAGTGTTGGAAGATGAAATGACTTCGCTTTCACGTTGCACTTTGGTTTTCGGAGGTCATGAGTGGAAAAGCAATCTCGGGAGCAGAGAGAAAAGTTTATTTGAATGAAAAATAATAATAAAACATACCGTGCACATATGTCAAAGCATAAGCTTAGCATTAGCATTCATACCGCGATGGTCCACACTTCCGAACCTCACTGGATTCTTGGGCACTCGGGTCGCCGCGCACCGCGGAATGTAAGAGCTCCGGCGTGCTGTGGGAGTAATCGTAAACGCGCGCCTCCGCCTCGAGCTCCGCAGCGGACCCCGCCGGATCCTGTTTGCGGTTTCGATGTTTTGATCTTCTCTGTCGTGATTGTCTTCTCGCGGCGGGTTAGCCGGTCGATACTGCTCCTCCACCCGGATGCGTTTTCCGGAGTCAGAGTGGATGTGTTTTTGTGCGCGAGGTACGAGTGGGATGTTTTCGAGACCATTTGCTAGCAAGCAAGCGATCGAATTGAATTCAACATTTTTTAAGTAAATTGACAAAGTTTGTCAGTAACGTTGTCTACCTATTGCTGGTTAACCACAGATATTCGTGTTTTGTGAGTTTGTACAATATCCGGTCTAGGGTATGAACAACGTACTAGAAATTTTTTTCTAAATAAACGAATCTGTAGAAATAGGTGCATTGATTAAGGGAGTTATTTGTTGCTTGATATGAACAGTAATGTTGATATTGATATTTGTTTCTAAGAATTGCCACCAAAGAAAAACACGATTCCACATTTCTCCTATCTCATAATTTTTATAAGTAAATTTACGTAATTTAATATTATATTGGTCACTAAGTCTTTGTGTCGCACTGAGATATTGTAGGATTATTGAATAATAATTGTAAGCTTGACCATTACTTATATACGCAGAGATAAGACTTGTGAGGAAAGAACGATAGTTTTCATTTATAATGGCTGCATCGTTAATTCTATCCCGAGCCATTTACAAGTGGTCAATTTCGTGATGCAATTCTATTCGCAAATCCTCACAGATGGTGTATTGAAAGTGGATTTTAAAGAGAATTAAAAACAAGACGAGTTTTGACTCTACAGGAGGAGGGTCGTCGGAATCCGAAGGCCAATTGCTCAGTTCGCTCCGTACGGCAGGCCTCGTGGGCGGGGTTGCGCAGTTGTTATCGATTGGTCGTGAGACGGGAGGCGGCTCCACCCACGCCTGCACGCGGACTTTCCGCATCCCTCCCCCCCCTCCGCGCGCCGCCCACGTCCGCCTGCCCCAGCGTTAAATTCGTCGAGGGGTCAAGGTCGGCCCGCGGGGGCCGACGTGTGTTTGACCAGGGCGGCGCCCGGGCAGCTCGTTACCGCGTCGCCCGCGGCCCTCTCCCCGTCGTGTCTCCCTCGCCCTCCGTTGCCTTGCTCCCAATCTCGCTCACGTCCCCAGCCGCGGAACTCGAGAGCGGTGAGCAGGCCAGCAGCCCTTGTGTGACGTCGGATCTCACCCGAGTGCGGCAACCGGAGATTTTCTTTGCTCTCTGCTCCCGTTACGTGGAGCACTCCATTTGTGCACGCCACTGACCGAGGCGCCCATGCGTAATGGCCTCACGTCCACGCTTGCGGAGAGCTACCGCCGTATTCTAATTCGTTGGCAAAGCGTACGTTCTTTCGTGTGCCATTTAGCTTAAGACTCTTCGAGAAACACTAAGAAAAATGGTTGCTCGCAGCCAATGTTGGCTGCATATAGGCTATTAGTGAAAAATGACAATCAGGTACTTAGTTTGCTGCAGTCAATTGGACGTTTATTACATCACCACTGACAGTCATCAGTTCAGTGTAATATTTGCCTTCTTTCTTGTTTTTCATACAATCAGTTCATTCCAAATATATAATGGTGAGTTGTGTCAGTGTGGAGACATTTTCTGTCTCTGTCTTTACGAAAAATGTATTAGTTGTGCTAGATTTAATTTATTGTTAGCACAAGTTCAATACGAAAACCAGTGAAATAATTTCATTCTGGTATTGGAAGTAATTGTTACAGAAAGAATTATAAGAAATCATATTACGTGTTTGAGTGACTAAAGACATTCCTTCAGAATATTTCCAAATATTTTTAGCATATTCCAGTTCCCTCTCTCCCCCCCTCCCCCCTCTCTCTCTGTCTCTGCTTCTCTCGTCTCCCCTGTCTCGTACGTAGAGACGTATTTTGCAGGCGGGAAAATCTATTGAACGTAGCTTGTAATTCATGATGATTCAGTATTATTTTCGGTTAATTTTATTGTATTCCTTACAGGATATCAGTTGCTCTGTATATTTTTCGTGTTCGAATGTTCCACTTTGACTTCCAAAAAGACTTGTTGGAGTGAGTATTATTTCCGGGCGCTTTAAGTACCATGCGAGGTTCATGTTATATCCCGGATGTGACGATAGTTCTTCTCTTCTTCAACGTGAGATCCGACGGCGACTACGCCGGATTGTGGATGCCATTACGCTTCCACCATGTGTGGTAGTGAAGTGTATATAAGAGTTTTTTTGTAAGGATCTGGAGGAGATGAAAGGAAATACCGCATGCGGTGCATGGCCCACTTGTCAGGGGTCTATTTCGGCATATTGATAGGAGAAATCACGGAAAACCATCGATCAGAGCAACCTCTAGTATTCTCCTATTGACAATGGTGGAATTCGATCAAGCTATGTAGCTAGTGTCGAGTACCCCGCCACCCTTGGGACTCGAATACTTGTCCCGGGGCAAATACTTGCTGCGGCAGCAACGGTGTTGCCGGTGTGTAAGCAAACGCAGACGGTAATTTATTCGAGTTGACAGATGATCACTCCATTCACTCCGAAGGAAATCGTTAAATAAGCGATGACTGAAGATGGCTGGTAGCAACGAGGTCCGACGGAAGCCAGTTGTCTGCGATGCGAAGCGGCGCGGCGCGGCGCGGCGCGGCGCGGCGCGGTCGCGGGAGTGACGCGCGCAGCGGACGTTCCCAGCTGGGCTGTTCCCGATTCCCGACGCCCGGCGCTCTCCGCTCGTCCTCCTTCTGCGCCCGCGCCGCCTGTGCGAAAGGTCGCGGCGCGCGCTTCGCAGGTGCCTGTCCCCCCCTCCCGACAGCCCCTCATCCATCACCATGAACGCTGCCCCGCCTCCGTCGCCCCAGCCCTTCCCCCCTTTCCTGGAATCCACGCGGGCGGAGCCGTTTGTTCGGTTGGCAGGGATGTTGGCTTAAACGCAGTGCAGCCACCTCGTAAGATTATTGTAATTTTGTTTGTTGTAAGATGTACAATAATGCCCATGGGATAAGACAATCTAATGGGATAATAGCAATTACGAAGTGTAATTTAGTTTAAATTTTTACAATATTGTTCACGCGCTAGCAAAGTAATGTACAAGGGAACTTCACACAGTTCCACAGAGATACGTTCACTATCAAGTCACCTGCCCTCACTTCAGTAACCCAAAACCTCTGATTTCTTTCAATAAATTGTTGTTTTTTAAAAATATTTTTACGTAACAAATGCTATATTATTTTATTATTAATTTTTTATACAAATCTTCAATATTACCATTTCATTAGGAATCCCCATAATTGGGTCAAACTAAGAGCCCCGAAATTATTAATCCGGCCCTCTCAACATACTAAAACAACGGTATTTCAACCTCAGTACCCAGAAGTGGAAGACCGATTACTACCGCATGCGTCACCCTATTTTAGAATAAGATAATAAAATAATGTAGCAATCAAATTCAGATGATTCATGACTGCGACCAAAGTTTAGGATAATTTTGATCGAAAATGATCTTCAGTCCCCAATAACATACTATCTCCACAAAGAAGTGGCAATATTGTTTTAACGTCCAGTCGACTTCGTTTGCCGGCTTCGTTTGATGGCGTTCAGTTGGCTAATAGGGTAGCTGTGATGGCATATCGTAGATGGGCTGGCATTAGTGGTCTGTCACTCTAGTGGACGTTTGATCTGGGGCGATGTGTTGGGCCCAATGAATATGCAAACTCTTGGACTGCTGGGCCCAGAGACAGGCGAGTGGGCCTTTGGGCTGGCGGAGAGAAAATGGGGATAGTGTCAGTGCTGCCAGATGAGATTCTGTCAATCACGAGCGTGTCGGTAGATGTTCGTGTTCGAAAGGAAACGAACCTGTGCCAACTCCGAGCTGGTCTCTGATTATTTCCGTTGGATGAAAGCAATTGTGGATGTTCCGTCATGAAAAACCCTTTTCCAATGAAGGTGTCAACGATGATAATTGTATCTGACTAGCTTGAGTTTATTGTTACGCATTTTATCAAAAACTATCCGCGAACTTTATATGACATCGAATAACCGTATCCTAAAGTTGTACGTGGATCGTACAATTCGTAATACGTTCCTAAATGCGTTTTCATGGCTCTTGTCTTTGTAATACTGATATTAAGAATGTCCTCATCGACCTTGAGTATTCAAGATATTATGTACAACTTGATAATTTACGGAAATTTGCCACCATGATGAAGTAAATTGTAGGCCATTGTGCTATTAGTTGCAGCCTGTCCCACGAGCACCCGAAAGGGAAGCGATTTGTTTCGAGTCCCAGGATGTTCGGAAAGTTATTGCATATTTTGTAGATATCTCAAATGTTATCTTGTGCTTACTTCGTTATTCTTTTAGAATCTCGCCAGCCGTTTTATTCCTGAACGGTCGTGCATGTACTGTATATTAAATTCTGTGTTTCGATAGTTCATTCACTATTTCGTCTATCTTATTGTCTCACCTTTTGTGTTCTGTGCTTTCCTGTGGATTGTCCCTTTAAAACTGTGTTCATGGGACATGAAAGGAAACGATGGACCCTTACTGAATGGCGCAGTCACTAGCAATCACTAACTTCCTTAATTAGCGCAAGTATCCGCATTTGCGGGTATTTCAAAGTGTCTTGGCATTTTGGCTGGAGAGTTCATGTCATCGGCTACCACAACTTATCTCAAACTTTCCTGCGGTGGTAATTTTCCTCCTTCGGTATTAACTCCCCGTGCGCTTGCCTGTTTTCTCGGATTTTTGTTGTCGCGCCCTTGAAACAACTGAACGCAGCTCCTTCTCCGCCTCCCCCCGCGTTTTCCATATGCGCCTGAGCACGAACCACGCGTGAGGGCACCACCCCAATGTTTAGTTCCACGCCCCGATCTTTTACAGCGCTGCACCCCGCCCGCCGTGTTCCCCTCGTGCGGAGACCGCCCCCCACGTGCGCGCGGCCTGTATTTTTACTCGTGCGTTCGCCCCCGCGGCCGCTGCGTTATAAATACTCCGCTTCCGGCGGACTCGGCGGCGGCGGCGGCGGCGGAACGCGCTGCGGCGCGGGGCTGGCTGGTGGCGCCGGAGAAGAGGCCGGTTCGCCTCGCTGCTCTCTTGGCATTCAAAACGGCGGTGCGCCAGACGCGGGGAGCGAGGCCAGGGATCGATTCTGATTGAATTAGCTCGTCTGTTCCCACTTATTCGAGCGTTTTACTGCTTTGGTCTAGAGTTGCATAGGGAGGAAGCGTGGGGGAACTCTTAGACAAGAATTAAGAATACCAACAAAGTTAATTCGACTTCAATGGTAATACCTGTGCGAACGATAAAAGTTATTAGCGCATAAGGATTTGAGAAACAAAATAATAATCCGTTTTAAAGTTTTCATTTATTAAGAAATAACTAGACCTGTGCAAACATTCCACACTTTCTAAATCATTTTTTTGTAAGACAAAGTGGTTTCATTTCAAACCTACCTTTCAAGTGTCAGGACGTGAACTCTTTTTTTCATGAAGTACCTATCTCCTAAGACCCTCCAATAACCAATGGGTGTTGGTTAATTACATCACATATGCCTGATGTTATACGTGTGTGGATATTCTAATATTGTCGAAGAGATTGGTCCCCTGCGATTGAAATGCATTAAATTTGAGTTAGTCGATTTAATATTGCAAATATTTCATGTTGCTGCACTTCTCTAATTAGTGGCACGAAGTGGGGGTACCCAGAAAAGATAATCACAAAAACTGTAAAAGAAAGTCCAAAAAGGTTTCCTTTTGTTGATAGCGGCTTAACACAAACATATGCATAAGATTTTCACCAAAATCGATATTCCCGATCGATCTGGCTGATGACCCTTAGAATTACAAACGAATATTTTATTTTGAGAGGGGAACGTTGAATAAAGGGTCTAAAGACATTTTCAAAAATTTCCCAACAACGGTTTCAAATTTCTGCATCTATTTTCGAATTTATGTTTAGTTCGCCAATAATAATGGCGCACGTCGAATTCTGAGTAAAACGTCTAGAATTTCAAACATTGTCAGAAGTGCAAATCTTTTTAGAACCTAAGTGACTCCTTTAATAGTAAAGTTACTTGATATTTCTTTGTAGTGCTATCCATTCCTTCATTGTAGATGTTTAAATCATCTTGTGTATACTAGTTTCTCAATATTAGTAGTTATAGCGTAATTTGGATTTACATGGTTTGAGTTTTTCAAGTGCTGACTGAAATGTGAGTAGCATAAATGTAATAATATTGTATAACAGTTACTAATAGCACGAAAAAGTGTGTACTGTTGTAGCACCACTATTTCGTTATATTTTTTAACAGGGAAGTCGCAAAATGGTTTTGCAGAAGCCCACATAAGCCCTTACTCACCCTTGAATTAATGTATTCGGTATCATTTTAAAATATCTTTATCTTCTTTAAATAGTTTCCAGATTTTTTACTTATTCTTTCCCGCTGGACTGAAAGGAAATAACTCTTTCCCCCATAATGAATATGGTGCGCCATTCAGGAATTATGGTGTTAGGAAGGCGGGAGGAATACATTTAGAATGGATTTGAGCTGAAAATTGAGGTACCTCGTAATTTTCTCTTGCTCCAATGAACCCGTGTGTGAACCAGAACGAATGGAGTGAGCGCGTGACGTTGAACCGAGATACGAAACCGGCCGAGGCGTTCGCTTTCTTGAGGTCGGGAAACTAGGCAACTAGGAAGAACAGACCAGTGCGATAAGGAGACGTCCCAGTCTCCCTTCTCTTCTGCATTAGAATAACTTCTCGAAGATGGAGTAGGGAAGAATAATTAGGAACGTTTATCGTACTGTTTTGTGAAAATTAGTGGATTCAGTTGGCTATCGTCAGATCAGCATTTTTCGACTCGAATCTGAGATATTGATGCTTTTGGAGGGTGTGATATTAGCGTTAACCAGAGGTTTAGTAGAGAGTTGCTATATACGAGAGATTCTTGGGTACAGTTATGATAATTCTTATATTATAAGTAAACCTCCTTCTCTCTATAGTGTTTCATTAACTAGTGTACAAACAGAAAGTATAGTAGTATTTACACACGAGAGAAAATGTTACTGGTATTTAGATACTCTACTCAAAAGAATAATTGTTGTTTCACTCCACTTTTCTTGAAATGAGAAATGAAATGCTTACTTTAAAATGAAAGGGAAAGATGGGTTCTTTCGTTGACCACTAATAATTTAGAAATAAGCGTCTGCAACCGATGATGGCTTTCGTTATTTCATGATAGGAAACTTACATTGGCAGTACCTGTACCCTCTCCGATTGCTCATAGATTTGTCAACTGCGACTCGTTACTGATCATTTATCGTCTGTTACATGCGCATAGCAGTGGAACATTTTGCCACGCTCGTGGCTTGCGTAGTCGTGATTGTTGTAGTAGTTTCGCTAATCCGCTGGCGCAGGCGCTAACGCGATGCAGCTGCTCGGGGCGGTGAGGCGCGCAAACAGCTCGGCCGCATTTCACACCGGATGGAGGCGCGTGGAGCGCGCTGCCGCCCGCGTTTATGACGCGGTAATGGGCTCTGAAATCCCGCCCTTTGTCCGCGATTCGGCGCCCGGCGTATTGATTAGGGATCTGGAGGCGACGAGCCATTGTGTGTCGAGAACATAGGTCGCATCGATCGAGAATTTGCTGATAGGAAGCTACGCACCGGTTAATTATACAGGTAGTTTTCTGCTGCTGAAATATCTCATTTGTGTAGGTGTGTGTATGTATGCATGCGTAGAGTGGTGACGTTTTTTCTTTTGTGGATATGACTCCCTTTTGAGGGTTTGTATAAATTTGTGTATACGTGGATAAACATCGCTCACACTTTTCTATTTCTCTGTTACAGGTGAGTTCCTGCTTCTCTCTATCGTGAAAATCTTGTCTTCAAAGATCTGTCAGCAAAACTAGTGAGTTCTTGTGCATGTGAAAAAATCAGACTATCATAAGCGGTATAGAAGAATACACCTAAAAATTCTGTGGATTGCATTTAACAAGTGGTATAATTAAATTAGTAAAAAGAGTTAAATGTAGGCTATCACTTTAAATTATCTATTTGCTGAATAAAATAATTCTTTCAGAGCCATTTCTTGTAAACTTTTTTTTCTTTAATATAACAGCACTTTTTTGTGATAGTTGGGAAGTGTGCGAAATTTAAGCCGTATTTTTCTATATTTTATTTGTTGAATCATTTGAAATCTGTCAGGAGTATTCTATAAATTCGGAGTGAATCCCTTGTGGAGAAGCATGCCTAGTGCGTCACATGCCTTTCTGGTGTTTGTGGTCGTCATCCGAGCCCTCCCGTCTCCTCAGCTGAGCAAACCTTCGCTACAGAGTTCGCACTTCCCTAGCGGGGCGGCGCGGCGCGGCGCAGTGCTCGTGGGCTCCCGTCAACAGCGTTACTCACCCGTCTCCCGCCGAGCGCTTGTCCCCGATCGGTCCTCCTCGCCATACCCCATTTCTCCGCTCCTTCCTGATCCGCTCATTCCCCCCATTCCTCTCCCTTTTCTCCCCGAACCGTTCCCCCATCCCGTGCTCCCCGCCTCGATCACCGTCGCCCTGTTCCTACCTGACCCATTCCTCACCATCCCGTTCCTCCCCGCCACGTCACTCCCGAACCGTTTCTCCCCGCCCCGTTCCGCTCTCTCCGCACGCCCTCGACGAAGGTCTTGCGTGTCCGCAGCTGTGACCGCACAGCACACTTCTCTCTTGATCCTTTCCCTGAGAGCAGAGAATCGCTGGAATCGTGAGGTGGCACACGCGTTCGACCCGGCCCCTTGGAAAAGTCGAAAGAAATTGTTTGATTGCCTCGCTAGTGCCCCAGACCATAAACATGACTAGAAGTGCTGTTCAGGATAAATATAGTTTCTTGTTCATTTTTTTCTCCTTTGAAACCCTTATTTGAAACCATACAGAATATAAGAATTCAAATATTATTTAGAATGAGCTTTATTAATCTACAAAGAACAAAACAATCGTTTCGATTTATGAAATGTATAATTACACTCATGTGTTTGCCTGCATCTATCTTTCTTTCTACAGATTGTTCTGCATTTAAACATTTTATATACTCCTATAATGTCGTCAGTTAACGTTTAGAATAATGCAACTATTTTAACTACTTATACCACTTGTAACTATATTTGTGTGCTTTGTGTAAATTGATGTAAAAGTCGTTGTTACACACCGTAGCGTATGCTCCCTTCGTTATTTCATGCATTATAAAATCCTTCAATTGATGAATTGATGAAAAGATTCATTACTGATGTAAGTCCGTGGTACTTCAAAGCTCTTTATTTCCAGATAAATCATATGATTTTGGTGTTTGATGAGGTGGCGATTGCCATTGGAGCCTGAGTGCGGGGTGTGCGAGCGAGCAGTGTTTGTTTGAAAGCTTGTGTAGCTGCATCCATCCGTGTGTGGGTGGAGCCATCTAGGTCCCGACCCGTCCCGTCGCGACCCGTCCTGTCCCGGGGCGGCCCCGAGCAGCTGACAGCATGCGGTGTTGTTGGTGTCCCTCCGCCGGGTGTGCGCCACCCGCGCAGTACGCCTTCGCAGCCGTCACTTTGTTTGCTCTTACCTCTTTTAGTGCCTGTCTCGACGTTTGTTTTGCGATCGCTGTTTCCCTCAGCTTAGCCACCCCTCAGTATCTCATATTTTTCGTTTCTGTTAAAACCCGAAAGTCCCATCTCATGTTGTCATTTTATCGTCGTAAAAAGTTGTATTTTGAGAAGTCAGTTTCGGTTATTGTAAATATCTAAATGGAATAGTTTTCAATTTAAACCGACTCGTCCAATCGTCCATATCCTACTGAGAATCTATGTGACGTGAGTCTAAAATTCATCTTGTGTAGGAAATAGTATTTTAAAGTTTTACAAATCTACACACATTAACTACAAGAACCAGACTCATCAATTCACTAAGCAAGGAGTTAAGAAATATTTTCGCTCTTTTGCACTTGTTAAGAGTTGCTTTAGGTATAATTGTGAGGTCTTAATTGGAAAATCAATGTTTTGGTGAGTTTCGCCACCATGTTTTTTGAACAGGTGGATTATGGCTTACTAGCTCAAAATGGTGTACGTTGTAGATATATGAATTCGGACGAAATGCAAAATGTTTTTATGTGCCCTGAGTGTCAGTAACTTATTACAATGAAGATGGTTTTGCTCATTTAACTGACACGCATCTGAAAATCAGAGACAACTTCTATTGAAGAAAGGAAATGTTTTGTTGTCGGACGAATATAGGATGTCCGTTCCGTTTTGAAACAGGAAACTTCATATTTGGATAGTAAAAAGAAGCAAACGAGCACTGCTTTCTGATGATAATCCTTCATTTAGGTCAACTAGTGTAGGGTTTGCGCAAGGTGAAAATCGATGTTTCTGGTCATCACTGTTTCTTCTTCATTGAAACTGAGAATTTTGGGATGAGTTTAAATCTACAACCTTCTAATCGTTCTAAATTCAAAAACATTTGACCTCGGAAATTTCAGAAATTGAGAAATACAAATAGAAAAATAAATATTATTATATGAAGACCAATAAAAGTAAATGTATGGATAAGGAGATAGCAATATTTACGGATCCACAAATCATTGAATTTAATTAGAGTATTTTTGTTGATAAGTAGTTTACAATCCAAATAAAAAAATGCAACTCAACATTGATATGTAATCAAAGAATTGACAATTCGTTCATACATTCTGATGATCACGCGCGGCTTTCAGCTTGCCTTCTTGATGTGGCTACCCACCAACTCTCACTACTGAAATGGGGGTGAGGGTGCTACATTTACATTGCATGTGCTGGGAGCCTTGACTTTTTGTGAGCGTTAATTACATTGCATTCTTTTATTTAATTGGCCTTTCGTGTGTTCTCAGTTATTATTTTGTCCCCAATACCGGGACATTAGTATTCACAGTTTGACCTATTTTGTCCTAAAGTAGATAACGTTACGTTGATCAAAAATGTCACACTTAAATTCATTTCAAAGTACTCCACAATCAGTGTGCTGCGATACTAGTTATGGATTTCTTCCTTATCAGTGATTATCAAAAGCCTGAAAACCAGTCAAAACGGCATGGTCTTTCTTAATATGAAAATGTATTCCTTCTCTCCACCTATTTAGTCTGTCTTATATACCAATTGTATATTATGAAGGAGTTAGGGTCCATAGATACATATTTATTGACATACAAATCAACATGAATAATAATTTATTTCACGAGACTTATTCCGCAACCGTTACAGGGATTATTGTTCCATCGTCAGGCAGGCAGGCGAGAATTCACAAACCAAATAACAATGTTGATATAATGACATTATGATAAAGAACAACGAGATGGACAACGTCGAATAAGTTGTGTTCAACAGTGTGTGACAAATCGGAATGCAGTGCATGCAATCACCTGCTTTGATACAAATTAAACGTTGCCTGACATGCAACAGATACTTGCAATGATAGTCGTGTTCTCCTCCCTTGTGGTTTAACGGAGGTATAGTGGTAACAGCGCTTGATTGCCCTGAACGTATTTCTGTTTCGATTTGCGAACCAGGGGTGCGGGGCGGAGGGATGCTCTTGACATCACGTTGTGTACCTGTTGCTCCGCGTCTGTTATATTCCCGAAACATTGATTTTACGCGGGACGTTTCCTGTCATTTTGACATTGATAAGTCCCTAGAGCGGTGCAACTGGATGTAAATTACCGGCAAACGTCATAACCCTGAATGGCGAATATCTCTGACTCGCCTTCATTCTACTTTTCTTTTCGGTGCACCCCACTTAGAGCAATAAAATCCTAAGAAAGTTTGTAAGTCACACCGTTGTTAAAAAGTTGCTGCTTTTATTTTCAGTGACCGCCCCTTAAAAGGCGTCTGCAAACGTGATTTAATTTTCAAATGTTCTAGGAAGCTGGTTAGGGAATTCCCTTGAGCACTTTTTCTCGAGTAGTCCCGTTGCGATTCACAGCTATTGAGTCTCTGCCTTTATTTTTAAGCTTGTTCTTCTTCTTCGTGTCTTTGTGCTTTGGTCTCTGCATATTCCTGCGCTTCCACTCCCTTCCCTCATGCCGCGGGATAGGTCTTTACCATCGTCCTTGGATGCACTGCGCTGTCTCATTTTTTTGCGTCATGTTCACTTATTACTTGCATTGTTTTCGCTGGCCTTGCGACTACTACCCAACATCAATTTGGATTTCACCCTCTTCACTCATCAACCCACCAACTATTAAGAATTGCCGAAGAAATCGCACTAGCTTTTCAGCGTTAACAATTCTGCGTAGCGGCCTTCTTAGACTTCGTACAGACGTTTGATAATCTCCGGCACAATTGATTATTTGTTACGTAAACTAGGACTCCCAGAATATATATTCCAAATAATCAAATACTTTTTGGATAATACATTCTTTATAATCAAAATGAACAATACCCTACCTTCACCTACCAAAATTCTACCCGGCGTTCCTCAAGGGTCACCACTCTTTGCAATCGTCTTTAATATCTTCTTATTAAACTGCTACGGCTCTCAATGCTAACGATACAGTAATCTTAACATCCGGCGAATTAATCTCTGAAGCAATAAATGACCTGCAACAAGACAAATATTTTTCCTAATTGAACAAAAAAAATGGCGATTAAAACTAAAACCCTCAAAATGCGAATTCAAACTTTTACCGTGGAAATAACAAAAATTCTTCCCCCTTTAAAAATAAATAATTCCCCGATTACATGGACCCCTTCAAATAAATCAAATACCTGGGCGTCTTCCTAGATACTCATCTCACATGGAAACCACATATTATTATTGAGAGACTAAATAAAACATATGGAGCTCTACTCAAATTATACACACTTATTAACAAAAAATAATCTCCAAAAATTGAAAATTCTCTGTTTCTTTATAAATCAGTCCTAAGATCCTCAACTTAAGCAGCTCCAGTCTGAGGAGGTGGCACTTCTTCTGTTATGAAACCCAAAGTAAAATACTTCGTACAATTACTCCCGTGGTTACAATAAACCCCGTGGTTTATAACCAATAGTCACCTACATAGACAGGTAGACATAGAAAAAATTACATTTCCTTACTGTCGTCCATATTATTTTCTAACCTCCAGATGCCCTTTGCACCAGCCACTTTAATCTCGTGAAAACCAGCGTAGCTCCTACAAGCATTAAACCGTCTCCCAAAGGATCTGTTCCGTTCCTCATAAGTTAAAGACATTTTTGGGCCACTTCTCTCTCTCTCTCTCTCTCTCTCTCTCTCTCTCTCTCTCTCTCTATATATATATATATATATATATATATATATATATATATATATATTGCTTACTTTCTTGATACATTCAGTTTCACAAAATTAACAAAAATAGTCGTAGAGGTACCGAGTGAGAATGTTCTCGTTCAGAAATAGGGGTATGTTAAAGCGCTAATTTCCATTACTTGTAACGTCGAGCCACTATTGATTTTAATTAAAGCTAATACTCTCTTGTAAAGTAATTCCACTGATCTGGTTAAAAAATAAAAATAAATTTAAAAAAGCATAATGCCCGTGACGTTTGGTTAAAAATTCTCGGCGCTAGTAATTCGAAACTTCAGTATTTATTGAAAATCATGCCTTGAGAGTTGACCGATTATCGTTAAAAGCGCTTGCTTCTTCGTGGCTAGGATTTTGATTCGTCACTCGAACGACAAGCAGATTTTTCGAACCTTCGTTGCTAGTTGCCGTTTTATTTCTCGAATACTGCCATATTTTACTATGCAATGCTACTCCTTACGTTAGCATCCATCCTTGTCCACACCCGCTCGTGTGGAGGGTGCCAATGGGATTCCAAGGCAATGTGGAATGACACTACGCAAAATGGGCCCAAAGAAGAACTAGGACTGATTAGTATAGTGCAAAGAGCCCGTGAAGAGACGAACGAGGTCTAATACCTGCCACGTATTCGCGAAAGACGCGAATCCTAAATATGTCATAAAATTTTACATATATATTTCGTTTCTCTTTTTATTCTACGAGACCCTAGATGAGAACGTTTGTACTCATAAATCAACGCAATTCTGTAGTTTTTCTGCTAACGCTTTTGTGAGTACTCGGCGGAGTTTTCAAGGCGCGATATTCTGAGAAGCAGATAAATATTTCGTATCAACTTATATAATACGCGCAGTATTTGTTGTAGATGTTGTTTGTAACTGACGTTGGTGGGAGCGCGGATGAAACGTGCATCGTCTGTGGTGGCGTCGGCGGCGCTACGTTTGTGTTCCGCCGGATGCCTCCCGGCACGGCGCTAAGCCACGCCACGCCGTGCCCCAAGGCCCCGCGTTTATCGCGCGCGCCGACCCGCGCGGTGCCCTCGGAGACCGTCGGGCCCTCCGCCTGCTCGCGGCGTTCTTCCGCCGCGCCGCGCCGCGCCGCGCCGCGCCGCGCTCTTTTTTGTGGGCGATGGGCCCGGCGGACGCTCGCGTCCATTGTGCTCCCCTGTGCGGCCAGGAAGCACCGTTTTGTTCTGGCGGCGTTGGCGCTCCGCCCGGAGACACCAGTCGCCGATAAAAACGAAAGGGACGTTGCACGGTTGGTGCAATATTGTTGGCGTTAAAGGTGCGCTCCGCTGTGAAATGGAAAGGAAATTCTTCATGTGTGTTATTCGCACGGTGCGCAGAATACCTGGAAAGTTGGGCAAACTCTCATTGGTGTGTGAATATGGTTCCGTTCTACGCTCAGAAAAACGTTGATTACGAATAAAGTTTGGTGTTAACGTGATCGGATTAAAGGCGTTTCCGGTTTGTGTTACTTTTCTGGGGGAGGTTTTTCAGTAGTTAAAGGGTGTCGAAACGCAATATTTTCCACTAAATAACTGCAGTATCAATCGTTTCATGTGAAAACAACAACCACACACCAGCATATTCCTCGTAATATTAGCTATAAATACTTCCTTTGCGTGTGGGTAAATTTTCAATTTCGTCGTAGCCTGTAAATCACCGGAAATTTCCGCGCATTTCGAAGACTCTAAACTGTTGTAGACTTGGGAGGACATTTCACTGTATTGTGAACAGCCAGTGCATTGCAATTCTGCCGTAAGGTTGTCGGGATAACATTCTGAAGCTCTAAAATTGGGCGCTATCATAAGACTGTCATCATTTGCAACCCAATTCCATCATTTCCAAAATTTCCTTTTTTGGTTATTGATTTTAAAAAAGAAGGTTTTCTGGTAGCTATCTTCTGCTCTTATGAAGCCCAATCTTGTAAACGTGAAAGAAGAAGAAAAATCGTTAAGAAACTGCCGTGCAGAATCGAAGCGATTCTCGGCGTAATGCCGTAGGAAACATTTGTTCATATAACTGGGGAGAATACGATGGTGTATTTTTCCCCTCCAGAATGACTCATCCTCTATTATGGTCTGCACACGATAAATACTTGAACTTAAATGCTTTGCAAGTTCTGCCTTATCAGTAAGTTTTTTAAGCGGGCGATGTACCATACTGACTTATCACTGACTTCTAGCCTTCCATTCTCGTAACCGAGGAACAAGACACGGAGACAGAGAATAGATGTTTCATTACTTGAATACTTATGCTTTTACCACTATGGATAGTGAGGCGTGGTGAAAATCCGGTTTGAGAGAATAAGGCCTGATAAGGAGATCCTGAAGTTCGCATTTGAGAATAGGAATGTGCTTGCGTGGCCGAGCTCTTCGAAGCGGGAACGCTTTGAAAGCGGTCGCGACCTTTGCAGATTATTATTCTCCTCTGGAGTTCAGCTGGTTACGAAGGTCAACTTCACCGTCCTCATTTCCTTCAAGAAGTAACTTGCGATATGCATCTTTCTTGCATACATTGAAACTTGAAATTCTTTTCTGGAATGTTCTCCACAGTGGTGCGAACGATCCGTTCTTGAGGCGAGAGAGGCTCTTTCTGTGATACTTCCAAATGCAAGGGAAATCTAGAAAAGAATTAAAAGTGTAGGCAACAGGTAGTGTATGATGAGGTATGCAATGCGAAATTCAGATGTTTTGTAGTTTTTTTATTACGTCATTTCAAGGATAAACAGCAGCGTCTGTTAACAAGCGATTGTTTGATTATTTAGTATATTCGGGCGCGTCAACTAACTGTCGCTGTCATATCTTTAAGTGTAGTGCGTATTATATACCGTGTAGTGGTGATGTTCCTGTCCCACTGGAACATGAGATCCGGTGCAGATCTTCACCTCGGCTTGCGGCTTTTGCTCTTCAGGTATCTTGCTCAGCACCTTGCCCCCCCCACCCCCCCCACCCCCTTACAGGAAAATTTCTATGCATATGATATCGCAACAAGTGGGTTAGTGTTATGCATGTATTTGTGTATATTTGATCGGAGAATCCACGAAAAACTTCCTTCTCCTTCAGTCAGTGGTTGAATTCGATCAGCTACGTACCGAGTCGATAATCCGTCTCTGTCGGAACTCGATTTTTACTATTATCTAGTCGGTTATTGTTATTTCACTTAGGAAGCATTTTATTGTATTGTCGAACTTACGTTTCGTGATCGTTACAATGCATGGTAATTTTCTTCTCAAGTTGTGCAAAGTAAGACATTACCCACTTGATATTTTATTTCGATTATTATTTTGAAAGGATGAACTGGTAATACGTAATTATCCTCAATATCAAACAATGCGGAACTCTTAATGATCAGTAGGGTTTGAGACAACACATGATCTACGTCGCTTACTTCCCTCCTAAGTTGTCACGCCATTGTCCTCTAAAGAATTTCATTTTTTTTTCTCGTCCGTCGTAAGAAGAGAAAGTATTGTAATCATGGGCCGGTAAACAGTTAATTTTCATCAGAAAAAACTTTCATTGCCGTTTCCTTATCACTAAAAAGTGATTATTATAGTAAATTACATTCGCTAACACGTTGTGTACTCAGAATCCATGTTTTGTGAGTTCTTGATATCGAAAAATCGATTAACGCTGAACGTCCAACCGTCCATAATTTTGCGTGAAAAATAGGCTATTTTTCAATTTTTTTTCTTAAAATTTTTTCCGGCCCATATTTTTTCTTCAAAATTTTTCCTCGTTTATATCAAAAGACGATAAAGTGGCACTATTCCCATCTAAGGAGAACTCTCTAATTTCTTCTACTTCTACTAACTTCTGAAAATTGCAGAAAGTTAACGTTGCAAAATTACAACATCGAAGATACAATTTTTTGCCTTATATGAACTCTGATTTAAAACTTGAAGTCTTTAAAAAGGTAATCTTCGTTGTTTTTCTGTTTTTTTAAGGTTGGAATTTTTGTTTGAGCACTGTTTGAAGAGAATGCGAATTAAATAAACCAATCTCTAAACACAGTTCAAATTTTTCTTTAATTATTTTTTCATGAATAGGAGACAAAGGGATGCTTAAAGTAATGGAGCAGTTCTAATTTTCGTTGTTCTGTCTGAATTTTCGAAAACGGAAAATTTAGAAATCATGTGATGTTAAAACATCACCAGACTTGTAAGAGTGTCTTAATTCAGTCCGGAGTCGAACTTTCATCTCAGTTTTATTTTACCGTAAACTATTGGTGGACAATGTGCGTTGTATCGTTAAGTGTTTGTTCGTAAACCGGAATGCTTCCACTTTCGAATATTCTCTCGCTCTTAGGCCGTTAACTATTCGATTTTTCCCCCCAACATATTACTTTAAAATAATAGAATGAGGTTGGTGAAATTCATAAAGAAATAGGGCATTAACGGGTGTCCCACTGAGCCAGGGCCGGTAGTTGATGCGTGTGGCCCCTGTGAAAACAATGAACGGAAGCGTCGTCGTTAGGGCTGAACGCGGGTCGCGAACCCGGTGTCAGGCCTTCGACACCAAATCGACGCGGCGGACCGGTTCTTGTCCGCCAGCGCCGCCGTCCGCACCCATACCCGTATCCGCGCACCGGTTGATTGGCTCGAGGTTTTGGCAGCGCATACTTTATTGCTGCTTTCCCCGCACTCCGTACGTGATTCCGTGAGTTGGCAGGATGTGCCAATGCAATCTACAGGTGTAACAGAACCGTTAGGCAAAATATCGTGAATATATTACTGACAGATTGAAATTGTCATGAATTGTTCCGTTGATGCTGTGGTTAAATCATGCTGTGGCAAACCTTATTTACTTCAAGTGTATTTTCAAAATAAAAAGCTGTTGGTGTTTGATTGTAACAAATGGTGTTACAGGAATTCTTATATAATAAATATTTCTTGAAACGTCAAATGATATGGTTATTTTTGATTTTGAAACATTTGTTGTGTACATTTGAGAAGCTGGAACGCAACGCAAAACGCGAAAAGTCACGCGGGCAGACGATGCTAGGCAAGTCCTTCCTAGCTACGGTTCAAGGGAAAAGGATTCGAGGCTAGGAGAGCATGGGAATGGCTTCGAGACCTCGGTATGAGGTAGCCACCAGGAATTCCTGGTGGTCCTTATTTTGAAAACTGGCGTTGACCCACGACCACTTTATAGGCGTCTTTGACCCAGGCGGATATAGTCGAGGGTAGATCTGAGATATCGAGAGAAATGATGTGTTGGAAGGTCCTTCACCCGTCTCTTAAGTGTGCATCGAAGAGGCGTCACCTTTCAAATGATGTTTTAAATCTGGTTTATCCTGTTGTTCACTTCATCGGTATGTATGGCTGGCAGCCTTCGCATGTATTAATTAAGCACTCCATTGAATTCTTCGCAAACGTCACGAAACTGAAGTGAAGTGAATATTTTCTTTTTAAGAATAATTAATGGAGAAATTAGAAATTTTTGAGTATCTGATAGGACCACGCCCGTTGTTATAATTCCAACGGATGCGAAAGGAAACGTCCTTCGAGTGGCATGTTGAAGGATAAGTGGAAGTTCAAATCGTGTTGTAGCAATGTGGAGCACCGGCTGTCAGGCTTGCTGTCCGAGTACCTCTGCTTGTTTTTCGGTTCCGCAACTCCGAGCTTGATAGATTGCTGATATTCATCCCACTGGCGTCTTCCTTAGAAGTGAAAGTTTTTTTTTCTTACGAACATTGGGCGGTTGTAATTTGATACCGAGAAATTTCCGTCTAAATTAAATTTACCCATTCAGGAAGCTCTTAGGAATTTTTCTTCCCGGAAAGGTGCATATCCGAAGAAAGATAATGTTGGTGCTTATTCACCGCGAGGAATTTTGGCATGTGTTTAATAATGAAACATACATTTTAAAATATTAATTGGATTATTTTCTTTTATCGTGCTGTTTTTAAGACAAATTGTTCTCTTATTTCGAATAACACTGTTTTCTGCCTTCTTTATAGTCTTCTCGTCGGGTCTTACATTCGTTTTCAGAAATCAAATATTGCTATGTTGACTTACTGTGCAACCACCGTAACTGCCGGTACACATTGATATCACAGATTCTGCGCCCACCCTCATCCTTACTGCTCACCTCAAGTTTCTCGAACTTTGTAAGTCTTTAGAGAGAAGGTGGCTTCCTCAGCGATCAATTCTCTTATATAGAAATATAAAATATTAGTAACATTTGTGGAAGATTTTGAAAACCGCCCATTTGAATTTAAGTATGTATTTGTAGAACCATCCGAGATGGACTTAAGCCGGATTTTATGAGAACGTGCAGGAGACCTGGGAATAAATCATTGAATTGTTCACATTACATTATTTTGCAAGTTAACCAGAGCTACGTACACGCATCCGTCCAATGGAATTACCGGCCAAGTTTATCTCAGAGCTAGCGCTGACTCTGCAGCGAATCTGACTGGGAGGCCTCAGCTTTTCAATCCCGACGGTGGTGGTTTTTGGAATTCAGCCTCTGGAAGCGAATTCTAGCGAACAGTTGTTCTGATCGGTAAATGTTTCGTGGTTTCTCCGATCAATATCAGTCGAATACCAGAGCAGTACCTTAACAAACGGGACAAAAACTGAGCAGGATCTTACCTTTCTCTTGTCTTATCATTTTCCTTTACACACATTTATGCTTACACCCACTACACGACCACACATTCGGGAGACCAGTCGGGAACCTAGAGCTTGTCCCGCGGTGCCCTGCTGATGGGAGGTACCGAGTTGGGAGAACCCCACAAGCCATCGGGTGAGTTGGCGACGAATCTCACCATCCAGCGGGGGAGGAACACTGTCACCTCCTACGATAAACACTGACTACATTTACGGAGTAATGACCTTAGCAGTTGACGTGCCAGAAACATTATTCATTCGATCCATCCAACCCTCACCATCGACACCGCCGCTTCGGGCAAAGCATCTAAAACGTCTTCCTTTTCTGCGTGTGCGTGTCCATGACGCGTCGAGCTTCTTTATGTCGCCTGAACCATTCGTGTTGGTCCCCATGGCTCATTGTCCTTTTGTTCTTCGTGTACATTTCTTTGAATGTGTTTTCTCCGCAAACACTGGGACTACGAGCTTGTCAAGACATGTTGACAGTGTTTTAAGTGCCTGGCGCGAAAACCCGTTGATGGATGTAACATACATTTTACTGTGTCTTGACAACGGTGCAGTATTCATACAGCGCTTGTTCACTCTTCCACTGTGAACATCCTTTAAGGAAAGGTTCTGCAGTTACTATTTGTCTATTCGCAGAGAAAGGGTTCCGTAAGATTCAACAAGACCTTTCTGCAACATATTAGTTAATGGAATGTTTGCGATGCACTTGTTATATTTTCAAGCACTAAGAAAGGAACTTTTCCTCACTAATTCAGTAAGAACCTCACGACGAAGTCGCCGCTTACCCTTTTTTTAACCCAAAGGTTTTTGATTCTCAAGATCCGAAGCGAATGTTTTAGAGGTAAGAAAAGTCTGTTCGTGAGAAGACCACTTGTTTCCTCCTCGTGTTCCACTTCGTTTAAGGGTGGTTTAGTGAAGTGTAGTTTCTTGCAAGGGAAACACCCTAGGGGGACGGATGTAGAAAAATGATTGTTCGTGAGTCTTGTTCGTCGTTCTTTGCTAATTCTTTTAAATACTGATTTTGGGATTCTTCATTGTCTGGTCGTCTCCGTGAGGTACTGCCATCAGATAGCGGATGAGCCATTCGTGGCGGTGGGTGGTCGTCGAAAGAACGTGAGGTGCTTGTCCATTGGTTTCGTTCCCGCGTGCGGGGGCGCCGACACTACAGTCCATTGATACAGAGACAAGCGCATTCCTTTGCGCCACCGATTTCGACACTTTATTTTCATTTGTCAGGAGAGTTCCAACGATGCGGTATTGTGGATACCGAACACCAAAATATGCAAAACGAACATTAATATTCTGGAAAATCATTATTTGTTATTAACTCCTGAATGCTTCTTGATGGGGGCTACCAGCTGATGTATTGAATGACAGCGGTTGCGGTACTCTCTGCATGTAGGGACTTGGGCTGGCACCTGGGCAAAGCGCGACGGGCAGGCAGGCGGGCAGCCACCGCATCCGTTATTCGCATTACCCTCGTTACTGCAGCCGTCGCGAAGGCGGCGGCGGCGGCGGCGGCGTCGCGCACGCGCTGCGCTTCCTCGCCTGGGGTTCGAAGCCCTCCCGTGGCCGCGCCCCGCTCCGGCTCCCGCGCGGCTCCGCCCACCCGCGCCTTCCGTCCTTTCGTGCTGGCGGAACTCGCCTTATAATTCTTCTAGTTCAGTGCTTTCAATGCTGCTCTTTCCTGTATTTTCAGTTTCCTACATGTAGCTAAAAAGTGTTATTTTCGGTGTATTGAATTTCATGATTTGTTGGAAATAAATGATCCGAACGTCTTTCCTGAAAAAGCTTTTATGATAATGCTTTTTAGGATTTCCTTTGAACACTTCAGTACAAGAGTTCAAATTAAATTGTGACTAGTTTTTAAATGTGAAATATTTATAAACGTTACTGAGTGAAACTTAATTTGCATGAACTTTAACCACAATTAACTTTCAAACACATTTAACTTGCAAAATTACAATTTTTGCATTCATTGCCCGTTAGAGGTCGCACCTATAATTTGTCTCTTATCGTTGTGATTTTCTCATGTACCCCCTATATTGTTTAGAGAGTTGGTGTTACTGATTGTGTTGTTCATCACCGCTGTGTCTACCGTCTTCCCTAGTTTAGATGTAATCGTCTCCACTCTTCAGATTCGCCTCCTTTCCTTCAGAGAGTTCAACCTCGATGCGAAGACTCCCTTCATAAGTGGGTTTATTAATTTTCTTCATGTGGGCGCATTACTGAAAAATAGCATACGTTACACGGCGCAGTGCATCGCTCTGCAGATGGACGATAGTGAACAGGCTTGTTCCTGTTCGGTACGGATGACTGCTGCTTCTTCTCCAAGACCAACTGCATTCGTCGTGGTCCACTATGAAAATAATTGCATTATAATATGGTTTTGAAGGTGACTCGGTGTATGTGCTCGCTGGTTAGGGTCTGTGAGTTCATTTTTATGATAATGTGATTTATTTTTCATACAAATCATTCAAAAAATTGTCAAAATGCAGTTTTCTGATCAGTTGTAAACATCCATGTCAGTACATTATTCAGCTTTTAAAACAGTTCTTTACTGTGGAAATTGCAAACGATTTTTCTCTCGACGTACGTGTTCAGATTTCCTGTTGTTACGCAAAATATGATTGTTTTTGTGATGGGAAATTCCTTGAAGATTTAGCACCACCTTGGGAAATAACTAAGACGTAGATCGGCATGCTATTAGAAGCTATTCTGGTTGCTATTGGTTGAGTTATATAATCATTCTCTCTCTCTCTCTCTCTCTCTCTCTCTCTCTATATATATATATATATATATATATATATATATATATATATATATATATATATATATAGTATATATATGCCGCAGGTGTATCGCACATAGACGCAAAAATTACTAGACCGATTTCGCTGAAATGTAAGTTTCGTTGAAAGCTTCGTTCTTGCTAATAACGGGAAGGTTTGAAGAGACATTTGAATTAAATCGACCATGTGGGGCCGTTGTTGTTTTATTCGTTTACGGTGACTCAAACGCCTCTGAACTCTATGGAACCTGCAGCACGGTCGAGGATTATGAGCGTCTTCCGTGCATACAAGTATTCTGCCTCTGCGTTTGTGAAATATCGGCAAGAATTATTAATGCAATAGCGAAGCATTGCACTAGTAATTTACAAAGCACTAGTATTATTTATAAATCTGATGGAAACACTCGATCGCATTTTGCGTAAAATTGACGGAACCGAATAAAAAGTTATAACTTAAAACATTATGTACATGAAAACAGTTTGTGGTCTTAATCATATAAAACAATTCTTAATACTTTTGCATCTCTCATATTCGAAAAAATAAAATTAACCAATACACATATGGACGAGATGTACTGAGAAATGCATCCCAGATACTTCTCAATACATTTTCTGCTCGGTCTAATTGGAGTTTTAAAAGTTGAAGAGAGGATTTGGATTTAGAATCGGCATTGCCCCTCCCCGAGCACGGCTGCCGCTGCGGGGTTGGGTCGGAGCGTGGGGGCGAATGGGAATGGCGAGGTCGCGTGACGCGCCGGCGCAGAAGGCTCTTCGCGTGCGCAGGGCTCGGCACGCGGTGGCGCCCGCAGCAGCGTGGGGCGGGCCGGTGGGTGCGGCGACGGGGAATGGGGGCGAAAGAAATGAGCCGAGGAAGTCTTGAGTCAGGGGTTGGGGCGCGGGTGGATGGGTGAAAGAAAATTGGAAACGAAGGCGAACACCATACGGAATGATCTGGGATTTCTTGTAATAACAGAATAGTAACATTTGAGTATTGCGCTGCTAAAAAAAGTGTATGCCTAAACGTTTTAGGCATCTAAAATCAACATAACTACATCTATAAATACCATATACATTGCGTTTCGAATTACAAAAATCAGTCATTCGTGACATTTATCATATTATGAGAACATTTTTAAATACTTTACGGCTGGGAAATACTATGTAAATATTTGTAAAATTTAATTGTTAGTACTGTGTAATATTTTTATTTCCTTTATGATGTCTTTTGTAAGAATCCGTGAATATTTGTAAAACTGCATGAATTTGTTGTGTTTGGTAGCACCAACTTTGTACAACATATCCAATGTGAAAATTGATAAAATAAATAATAATAATAATAATAATAATAATAATAATAATAATAATAATGGGAATTTTGGTAATTGATGAGCAGTGTTGTAATGAGCAGTTCATAACCATGATCATGATGAGATGGAATGAGAGGAAGGACAAACTGGAGAACCTCGAGAAAATTTCCACCATATTTCCAGACTTTACCCACCTAAAATTTCACCTAAATATGGATTGGTCATGCATGAATTGTGGTAGAATGTCGGCATTTTAATTAATGTTTTCTAAATGTTATTGCGTGAAAATTGAAACATTGATGACGTGTGAAAAATAATTTTTTTCATACATTAATATATCTACATATCTTCATGCGAAACGTTTTCATGCGAAACGTTTTCCCCTTATAATCAACATTGCAAACAGTACTGGCTACATATAAACGTTACAGGTTCAGCCAAAGTAATTTCAAGCGTAAATATCGGACAATGCCACGTTTTGCCAATGCTGCAAAAAGTCGTTAAGGAGAGGACACGTTCCTACTGAACTCGCGTTTGCTGACTTAGGTGCAGAGAACGGCTGAATAAGGAAGGTAGGCGTGGCATTGGGCAGAAGAATTTGCTAATTGCGCAATGGAATATTCTTGTGTTAATTAATAAGAGCGGGTTAAAAAACAGGTGAATTATCGGTGTGGGATGATGAACTTCAGAGATGTATGTTGTTTCTTCGAAAGTGATATATACAAGCTGACTGAGAATTCCGACGATAATTGTTTGAGATGATGATCGGTGGGGGTAGAAAGACGATCAGCGAAAAGTTGTCATAGGCGTCGATTCAGGAGAATGTATTGAGGGGAAGTGCGTACATTGTTGTTTCGCTTCGACCGGAAGTATGCAGCACTATGGTGACGTCACCGCGCGCTTATATCAGTTGCGTCATGCCTATTGTTCCGCTCTCCCCATTCCGGCAGTGCTACTCCGGGTGTTTTTCAGTTCTTTTTACAAGGAAAATTGAAGGCCATCCCGTTCATTCGCAATCTCTGCGATGGAGTTTAGTTGACAATATAATTGTGTTCCTTGTGAGTAAATACAAATGTAGGTGTAATGGTGGTTCTGTAATATATTAAGTATTTCGTAGGGAGGAAATAGTGAAAGGAATCTGGGACTTAACACTACTAGGGAAATAATATTTTTCATTCTTAATATCTCATACAGATCATTCAGGTCATGCAAGCTCAACTTGGATTCTTCCAAAGAAAACCGGGGCGTATTGTTGACTTGACTGTCTTTGGCTTTTGGAAAGAGAGAAAATGAAGCTGAAATTGACAGAGACATCTGGAAGGTAGTTGCATTATTGATGCAGTGCCATTGATGACCTTTCAGAAATGCAAACTTCACTTCAAATTATAATTAGCAATAAGAACATTCTCAAATTGTTTGTTGTATTCCAGGCATTTCCTGTCAGCTTATCTCGTTGTGTTTTTTTTTATTATTATGTTTTTTTACCATTATTCAACTTTCTGAGCTTCTATTTTGTGTACATGCCCCGAAGTGCAGAAGTGCATCCGCCTTGGCGAAAGGTAATGAGGTTACGACCCTCCGAGTGTTTGGTTGGCTGTGCGACTCCTCCTGCTCCCCCCCCCCTGCCTCGCGGGGCAACGTGCAGTCGGCATCCGGCGGCCCCTGACCTGCGCCGCGCGCGCGCTTCCTCCCGCGCCCCGCCCCCCGCGCCGCCCACTCCAATGTCCTGCGCTTCCGGCCCTGTGCGCCGCGCGCAGCGCCGTGCCGCCCCGAGCCGCCTGCGGAATGTTCCACGGCGAGAGGGAAAGAGGAAGCGCGCGCCACCGCCTCGCCTCGCCACGCCTCGCCACGCCTCCCAGGGTAATCGCTCGCGACGAGGCAAGTCGATGCGGTTAACTTGGGGATTTCGCAAACTTCAGCCAAGATAACATTTTTTGTTGTTGTTGTGATTTACGGGATTGTTTGAAGACCTACAAAACCTAGAAGAAATCCAAATTAACGGCAATATCACCTACTTGTAACTGCTTCCCAAATTTGTCCTTTAAACGATGTGCACCAAACAAATCATAGTGTTCTTTTTCTTTTGCCTTATTTCTAGAAGTAAATATTTTCTGTTAATATCAATGAATTGTAATTGTATTTGGAAGGAAAATAATAATAATTCATTAAATGCAGCAGAGAAACTAGAATTTTGAACCTATTAGTTCATTGATACATATTTCTCTTCGCATTAATCACTCTCCTGTTCTTGAATATTGTTGTAAAGTAAGTGAAAACGGTTCTTTGAATTTTGACTGTTTGGAGCACTCGGTCTTTAACAAAACGTGTGGAGTAACCTTGAGGGTTGTGACGATGCATTCATTTCAGACGCCAAGGGCCCGCCGTCATCGCTCTGCGCTCTTGAAACCCAAGTGCTGGCCGGGAAAGGGGGCGGGCCCTATCCACTCACCCAGGTGGAGTGGAGACCCCAGCTGCGCTCTTGGCGTAATAAGTTCGGGGGCTGTTGAGGCTCGTGGGGTTCCTTTCCCTTCATCCTCATTTCCGCCCTCAATTATGGCCGCCGATGTATTGAAAGATATTCGTTGCATGATCCAATAAGGCAACGTATAATAAAGTTGAGCTTGTCGAGTTTATCTTGGTACCCAAAATATTGCGAGCTTCTCTGTTTGAATGAAATATGATTTGGAGGTCGAAGAGTGGAACGTTCTATTTGCGCGAAATCAAACACGTTTTTGCTGTGAAATAACGATTTTGCAATGCGCACGTTAATTTGCGCAGTTCTATTATCTTATTTTGTATGAAAAGCTTTTAATCGGGAGGGATTTGAAAGATCGTATTCAAACTATAATGGATCGTTTGCTACAAAAACTTGCCTATTTTATTGTTTACCCAAATTCATTTTGTTTTGCATTTTTGCAATGTATACGGACGGGGTCCTTCATACTCTCGAAGGGATATGATTTAAATCTATTTTACGTTTACTGTGACCGGAATTCATTCCGTTTCTATCATACTACGTGTAGGCGCAAGCAGATTTTTGTTTCTCGTGGAAAATCTTTGCAAATGACATAAACTGTTTTGGATACCTAACACTTGAATTCATGTTCATGGTTGTTTGTGAGGAAATTGTCAATAAGAACACAATGAAATTAACTTTATGTAGGATTTTTCTCTGAAGGTTATAGGAATGAGTGTACACCCGACTTGATTTTCTTATAAAGAATAATTCATTAATATTGAATATAAATTATTTTTATTTGTTAACGTATAGTTAATATTTCTGTGGTCACAGGGTAAAAATTCCTAAGTCAAAAATTTAAGTTTGGAGAAAACAAGGGTTAGAGTAATGAGTCGCCTATATTTCCCAACGCTTTTTTGTAGTTAAGGAAACGGCATATGAATTAGGTCTTTTTACTAAAATAAAATATAGATACTTAAATTGTAGTTTTAGTACTTAATTTTGCCAAAAATTGACTTAAGAACTTTTACCCGGAGACGACATATTTATAAAGCAAACAATTGATATATTGAATGACTTTCGATAGCGTTGAAAGTTAGTTGAAGCTTTTTTTAAAGTATACTTTTTAAAGAAAGAAAATATTTCGAACATGATTTAATGGCCGTCGGGTCACCCTCAACTGTTTACTATTCCTTGAAAAATTGTGAATTAAGTAAAAGTTTAAAGGAAATGAAAATAATGTTAGTGTTTATTGCTTTTTTAAAGAAATTTAATTTATTATACTCCACTGTAGAATTTTCTTGATATTTCAATATTTTTTAACAAGCATGCCTTAAATTCCAAACCTTCCTATTTACTTGAATTTTTTAAAGCTGTATTTCAAGTGCACATCAAGGTCCAACCTCGGAGGCTCAGCATCGTCCATCTCGTCGCGATTCTTTTTGTGTAGTCAATACTTGTCAGATTTGCTGCGGCGAATGGCCGCCGAAAGTGACGTCAGCTTCACAGTCGCGCCGGACTTCCGGCGAACGCGAAGACGTGCGTAGGCTCCTTGAATCGGTGGCGCCGCCAACACCTCTCCTCACATTGGAGGCCGGTCATTATCTCCCCCTTCGGTAAAGCTATTGGCAATGGGGAAAATAGAGGCAATAATTGAGATGATGTTCTTATCACTTTCTCTATAGATTCCAGTGTTAAACATTTAAAAATCATGATTGTGGTCTGCTCTGGTGCACAGGTAAGGGGTTTTGTTCACTTCGTATTCGTTTGCTTTGAATGAGGTCAAGGAAGCATCGCATCCCACCTTTCACACAAGCAAAAATCTCTCATATGGGTACTTACAGAAAGCGTTTTCAGTAATACGCATTACAACTGACTGATGTAGGTTCTTGATTCGTGGATATTTTGTATCCAGGATATATCTGACAATGCGATGTTCAAAGTTGACGATGTGGCTTCCATGTTTCTCCACTACTTCTATAGTTTCTTTCCTCGATGATATGAGTCTTGTCTCGTTCGAGCGTCTCAATGCCGCTCTTTTCCACATTTGAGTGGCTTATCTGTTTAAGAAGTGTACTCTCCAGTGCTCCACTCGTTCTGTCGTACTCTATAAAAAATGAAATTGTAGAGGGGAATATTCTACACACACTTAAAATTATTTCCTCCCAGTGTCATCGAGCAGATAAGAGGTAAGGTGGTTCCTTTCTGTGTAGACCTTTCTCGTTTGAACTAACAAATGTTATTTCCATAATGTTACTTGAAATATGTGGGTTAACGGGCACCTTTTCAAATCTTAGTTTTTTGCAATTGCCTTTAACAGTTTCTAAGATCAAAATAATGACAGCTTGAATCATTCGTATTTGCGTATCTCTTGTTTAACCGCATCCCAAAAACGTCCATTCAGCTTTACCCGTACAAGTTTACCACGTTTAGTGTTGCTACTTTGACGGTCATCTGACCTTAAGTCTCTTCGGGAATTGCCCGACTGCATCCCGGGGTCAGTTTTCCCTTATCGCAGTTTCCCAGCTAATCCCCGTTCACTTTTCGTTACCTGTGAAAGCATAGCTCGACTGCATCACGTTTTGTTCATCTGATTATTCGAATGGAGCGAACAAATTTGTTCAGTTTATTTTCATAAGGGGCGCAAATAATTGTCCTCGTACCAGTCCAGAGAAAATCTGGAACGTAGGTGAACTTTGCTGAATCTTCGGAATTGTGAATATTAAATACGGAGGTGCTCGTGATAAAAGGCTTGGAGTTTGGTTTCCAAAATCTTATAATCTTTTGGTTTTCAACGTTGGCAGTTCTCTGAAAGGACATGCGCATGTTTCTTGAAAACAGACAAAAGTGGATTAATACTAGGCAGTCTACGGGAAAAGTGGACTATCCAATCCTTATACTAAGGGGGGAAACGCAACGGGATGCTGTCGTGCTATGCCTTTTGGGGAGATTGGTAAAAGTCTTAGGAAAAGTTGTCTGTGGGATGCAGTCGGTATACACCCCTCCCTTCGCACCTGCTCCCCATCCGCGGCTCGTCTTCCATTAGACGAAAGCGCGTCGCTGCCTGCTCTGTTACGTTCTCAGAATGAGCACTCGGACAGACGCTCAGGACCAAAGTACATCCCGAAGAAAATCGAGTGTCAGAGGGTGTCGTTTGTGACTTTAAGGAGTGGAGTTGCGACTCCAGATGCTCGTAATTTCTTAGACAGGTAAAATTAATAACATTCATGTATGCCGAATGTGTATGAGCTTCTTTTTCAAAGATTCGCAGAGAACAATCGAAATTCTCAATGCTAGTTCGCGGTACACATAGACCTTAATGACATCGCGCGTGGTATTACAGTGTAATACCACGCGCAATATATTTTCTCAATACGAAAATTCGTTGACTTAAACAATTAAGAGAGACCGTAAGGAAAATTGCGAGGTCATTGTGCAAAGTTGGCGAAAATTAACCTTGACAAGATAGCTTCTAAATAACGTAAGATTGTAACCGTAATTAAAAAAAAAGAATAGAATTTTCGCAGGGTATTGAAAACAGTCCCTAGGATTAGCAGACTGCGTGAGACGAATAGCCGTTTCAAACTCAAGTCTTTTCTGCCATTTGCCATGAGGCCAAAGGAAGTTTTTCCACCGAAATAGAGGCGTGGAGACCTCGTAGGGATTCCGACGCTGCCGACAAAATCCAGCGCGTCGCCACTGCGGCCAGGCGATAACAGGATTAGCGCCTGCCGTTCCCCGGGGCCGGGAAGCAGCGCTGAGCATTGGAATCGAACGTTGCAGCGCCCTTACATCTGCGGGCGGCAGTGGAAGAGGCTGCTGACGTTGACATGCCAAACAAATAGGGTGTTTGCCTTTGAACAGAGTGCTTTGGTGCAATGCAACGCGCTCACTGCATGCATTCGCTCTGACAAATTGGGTTGAATTGTTGTCGGTAGGGCGCTTTTCATTTCTCTTGTTGCCTACTTTTACAATGTGATCTAAAAGGGTTTAATTTATTTGGCCATTAAATTATAAGTTGTGGAGATGAGGGTCCTAGTCACAATATTGTCTAAGATATATGATGTGGAGAGATGGATCAGCGAAACTCGAAAAAGTCATGTAAGTGTTAAAAGAAACAGAATGTAGGATTCACCATTACACCGAGATAAAACTTGCTAGATTTTGCTACTCAGGGATTTGGTATTTTTATATACGATAAAAAAAATTCCCTAAAGAATACTGTTGGATCATTTTTGTTGACATTTTCGTAATACACATGTATTTAGATTTCCTGGAATAAATATTATTGACTGAATACGCCTTTTCTAAGGAGCTCTTTTTTCACCCCAGCACCCAGGTTTTACTGTGCATTTCGCCTCTGCCATCGGGAGGCATCGGGCAAGGCCCTTTGGAGGGGCAGTGAAGCGGGGCCTAACGGTGCTGGCTGAGCGGAGGACGGCCTCTGCCTCTGCCCGCCGCGAAATTCGTCTCGCGGGCCTCCACGCTCCGTCGCAGTCGCCGTCGCTTCCTCTCCCACCCCTCGCCCGTCACCCACCACTCACCACCCAACGCCCTGCGCGGTTGTACGTCAGTCGCCACTGGAGACAAATAGTATTATTTCTTAACCGGGATACGAATAATAACTACTGGAAATTCATGCGTTTGATGACTAATTGGTACGATAACATCGATTACAAATGTAATGAATATGAGTATTAGATGAAAACGAATTTTTTAAAACACAGGGAGTGTAAGTCTCTACGACGACGGTTTCGAAGAATTTCTTCTCTCATATATACAGCACGATTGGTCTTAGAATCCCTTCTACTATTTCTCACACCGTCTTCCTTGTTCCTGGCCCAGCATCCCAGCTACACCCCGCTAATTCTTCGGGCCTCCCTCCTAGCTATGCTCCCCGGTCCCTTGCTCGGCTTCGGTACCATTCCCGGCCCCGCTCGCTGCCCTGTTAAAGCTGTCGACCCTCTCCCCCTCGCAGTCACTCTCCCCCCCCCCCCACCACTCGTCAATCGCACCGCTACCACGTCGATGGCGGAGGTCACGAGCCCATGGGCCTCGCTTCCTGGTGGGGACAGATCGACTGCGGCCCAGAGACAATGCTTTGTGGTTTTTCTTGTTTTTCTTTTGTACAATACTTTTCCCGTTGCGTTTCTGGCTCTGGAACGCCCCGACCAGTTTGAGAATCGAATTTCAATTCTAATAGGAAACAAAGAACATCCTTTTGGGGTGGGTTTCTATTTAATTAGATAGTGTACTGTTGATTAAGTTCTTGCGGTGAAATGTTGCAACGTGTTTCTTACACCGTAATCTACAGGATGAGATCTTTTTGAACATTCTATTACACTTTTGCTGGGTGGAGAGGGGAGAGAGGCAGACGAAGAGACAGAAAGGAAGATGAAGAACAGAACGTCTGCCCGGTTCCACTAGTATGAATTAAAAAAAATACTATGTAGGAGAAAAAACTATATTATAACCATTAATGAACAATCGTACATATAACCTCATTTAGTTTATGGTTCTTAGGTATCAAACATTTTAAGCCTATTTAGGTGTTTCAGAAGACTTGCATGTTTACTGCTCTTTTATAAACCTACCACCCTTTCCCGTGTCCAACTTATATTGTAACTTTCCAAGAAATGCCTCACGACTTGTGTGTCTGAGAAAATATATATTAACTTCTTGGAATGGTTGCGTTCAATTCAGAAAGACGGTATCTTATAGAGAAGGAATGGTATGTGTGCGTTATTGAAAACGGTGTGTGTATTTTGATTTTGCGACTTATATTGTGAAAGTCTTTTTACGCTCTGACAAAAATTACGAATTAATATGAGGGGGGGGGGGCGATTTGATGAATCCGAAACAAATCTCTAAGGCGTAACATAGTAAGACTTGTATATAGTATTACTCGAATTATTATCCTGTCTTCAATAAACTTTTACACTTAAATTAGCATTGTTATGAATGAATAATCGGGATAGATGCAAATATGTTTCGCTCTTAATCATAAATAAACAAAAGTTATTAGTTATAAATTGTTACTATAAATGGAAATATTTTTTCAACTTTTTCCTTTTTTAATCTGTAAGATTACGAAGAAAAGATTTAAAACGGATATGAATCCATTTAAATAGGCGCTGTAGACAGCTTTTACATCATCCAGGACGGCGTATGCATAGCTTATCAACCATTTCTCGGCCAAGCATACTTTCTTCCCTCATAGCTTGCTCCCAATCCTATTGTTTGGTGCAGCCACCATCGCCATCTGATTTCTACTATAATTTCTACTTTAACTACTTACTTTAATATACAACACAAATAAAATCAATACAAATTATTTTTACTGTGCAATAATTTAATTCCACTTCTTGCATTTACAATACTTGGGATGTTCTCGCAAGCAGTACGTAATTATTTAGGGAGGTTCAAGCGTGTGTCGCGGGTGCGTTATAAGGGGGGGGCGTATATGAAAATGTTCCAAATTTGCAGTACATAATTTACGAGTATGGACGGCCCCTTCCGTATTTTTTCTCCCTCCGTCTGAAATAGTGCTACCCCCGTTCTCTGTTCGTCCACCCACAGCATTTAATAAGCTTCTGTACAAGGCCTCACCGCGGTGGCCGCGATCTCCACCGACCAGGAGCGCGTGCAGCCCAAGCGGCCCGCCTCCCGGCCGGGCGGCCAGGACGCCGCGCTGGGCATTTCGCGGAAGCCCGCTGAGGAATGCGAATTTCCCAGGGGGGCGCCGGAGCCACTGCTCAACTATTTATGGCTGCGCCGCGCACCCCGCTTCGCCTCGCCGCTGGAATCCGCCTCACGCAGGCTTTCTAGCCATGAATGGGTTGCCTCGTAAACCTCGGGTTGAGAAAAGTTTGCACTCTTGTGGCACCTAGAGCACATGTTCCCACACACTATCAACGACTCCTTTTGTTGAGGCCATAATACCATGGCAGGTGACACAGAGTTAATTGAAAAGTATTAAAACCAGTGTGAGGTAGGTAAGTTCTTTTAAATTTTGTAAGATTTTAGTAAATACGAATTGGAAGGACGTAACAGAAAGTAAAAATGTATTCGTTTAGGTGATTATTTTGTGTTCAGTGATAACGTCTAATCATGGGTTTGACGAACGGCTCGCACATCACTTTCGCGCATAACGTGCTTTTAGAGGCAATGCCCATAATAGCATAGGGAGGTGCTTGCTGGTTAGGGGAGGTGGAGCGTTGCCCATGGTAGGTGCGGTGAGGGTGGGAGCACGAGACAGGGGCCACTCTGCGTGGCGCAGTAAGCCCGCCGCCCGGTCCGCCCGACACCGCCGTTGCTCGCGCATCACGGCCCAATGAATCGCGTGCCTGCGCGGCCGCGCCCGCTCGGTGTGTGCTCGCAGCCACTCGTCGCGTCGCCATGCGGCGGCGACGTAGAGCGCGGGAGCTGCAGCCAAGGCCGGTCACGCGCAGCGGCCGGCCTCTCAGCCTCCAGCCAGCCTGCTCTCTGTCCGACCGGCCAGCTAACCGCCCGCCCGCCTGCCTGCCTGCCAGCCGACGGCTGGCCGGCTGGCTATGGAATGTGCGTGCGACCTTGTCGGCCGCCGTCCGCCGCTCCCGCTCCGCTCCGGGTGCCTCGCCTCTTCGGAGAGGCAGAGGCTACCTGCCCCCGCACATCCGACTACACGCCCGCCTCCTGGGCGCCACCTGCTCTGGGACGCCCTTCATCATCTCCCCTTTATTTCTCCGCTGCAGACGCTGCCTTCCCCTTGCTTTGAGCGCCTATTCTCCACAACCTTCTGCTCCTATAGTCCCTGGGAAAGGAGCCCTTTACACTTTGCAAATACATATAATTTTACCTGTACGAGTGTGGGCGTATCTGGACGGTCCTCGTAGACGCAATTTTATCTACTCAGCGGAACAATTCTCACCTTCTCTCGGCACGGAAAATGTCACAACTAGTACAAATATAATGAAGGATTCGGGAACTGGCGGGTTTCCTTTTATTAGAGCTTACCTGGGAGTTATTCGCGCAATATGGTCGTACGAATGTATGGTCGCAACAATACTTTTACACAATACGGTTGTATAACTTCAAGAAGAATTAATTTCAATTAAATTTTTATTCAATTCTTAGATATTTGGCCTGCTCCGATAGCTGTACGGAAGGGAACATCGTTGGTCCACCAGCATCGTTGACAGGGGAGTTCTAGGGTTCGGAAGTTCCTTCATTAACTTTTTCCAATCCTCTTCCCAGATACACACATGCACATACATACATACATACATACATACACACACATATATACATACCCCGTACATACACACATATATACACCCCATACATACACACCCCATACATACACACCCCATGCATACACACCCCATACATACACACCCCATGCATACACACCCTATCCATACACACACCATACATACGTACACACACACCATACATACGTACACACACACCATACATACGTACACACACACACTATACATACGTACACACACACACTATACATACGTACACACACACACACACACACAAGAAAACAACACTCACTTTCACTACACATCTGCTATCAATGACGTCATTTCACTAAAATCTCTTGCCGTTTTTTATTGCACTCAATGTACTACCCTCTTTCTCCCCTTTTTATGGTCTTATTCCTCCTTTATTTCATTTCGCCTTCTCGGAGCCCGTATTCTGGTTACATTGACCTTGGATTTCTCGCATCTCGCTACAACAGAATGACACTTCTTTTCGTCTATGCCCTTTAAAGAATTTTACATTATTAGCGTCCCATTTCGTTGTTTCAGCATTGTTGATTAAGGGAGTCGGCGAGACGTAAGAACATATGATTACCCACTACAGGAGTATTTTGAAAATTCTATTATCTCTAGAGTAACCATACTGTACGAGCGCCTTTCTCACAAGGTTTTAAGTGTTGCGAAATAGTGTTCTCTCGCAAAATTAAGTTATTACCGTCACGAAACGGGAACTGTTTTGTGTTAATTACGACTGCGGCACAAGTCTGTGAATTAGATAATTTGTAGAATTAGAACCTCTGAATCTTTTTACTGTTTGACGTGATATGGGGCGCCCTTTTTTCTTTTCATGAACATCGGTAACATTGAAAACGTATTTAATCTTACATAATTTTTATATCCTGCGTAGGCCTTGGTGTGAAATAGGTAATTGGTTCACAGGAAGACGCGCACAAATAATAATTTCTCTAATGTTTTTAGTGAGTTATTATCCTGTTTTAAGCTAGTTTATATTTTGTTGACATAGTATTATGATTAGTAACTTACTATATTGGAAAACAAGAGAAGCGAGTGTGCATACAAGACGTATTAAACTAGAATATTATTGGTGCTAAATGGAAAGGAGAGCAATGTAGTCAGCCAATATTGAATGAAAAGGTGAGCAGAAACGGGAAGTAAATATAACCAGGGAAATGAAGCATGTTGAGAAAATGCATGTTCGCACACTTAATGTGATTCCGGGAGGGGGTTACCATTTAATTTCAGAAATACTTAAATTGTCGCTTACTTTCTTACCCTTTACGCGTAGTCAGATCGCCCGCCGCGTGGCGCGCTTGTCTCGTGGCCTATGGGTTTCACGGATCTCCTTGTGGTGGGTGCTTGGGCCGCCCGGGAAGACCGAGGAGTGAGGCGCGAGGAAATTCGCGAGGGCCAGGTGCGCCGCAACGGGTCTTCCGCCGCTTCCGCTTATCCCTCCCCCACCCGTTTGGATCCGGTGCGTGCGCTCCGCAGTGCGGTCTGCGTCCGGGCTCTGCATGCAACTATTCTCTGCCCATGGATAATTTATTTTGTTAAATACTAACAGGTATTTAAATTTTTACTTCGATAACATTTTTTAAATGTTTACATCGCTTCTTAGCTGACGGAGAACATGAATTATGAGCCAATTTCGAATTTTTGAATTACGATATTTCCCCAATATTTGGGGTCTCTTGGGGGAAGGGGGCGAATCCACATTTCGTGCAGTACGACGTCGAAAATCTAATGTAAGCAAATGTATTGAAACAAGAAATGTGTTAATTTCGTGACAACACAATAGCGAAGGGAAATTAAACAGTGAAGCATATGGAGTAATTCTATTAGAAATCTATTTTACTTAATTAAAATTGACATTTTAATGAAAAATCATTGAAATCGAATAAGCTAACATCTATCATTGTAGGAGGAAGCGGTACGGTAATAGTTTTTAACCGCGTGAATTCATCATAATAATTTTTTATTTCAGCAAAATCTCCTTCGATCAGTAGCAAGTATATTCATAGCAGTTCTAATAAATACGAATGGGTTTATGCTGGTACTTTCAAGAAGCCGAGGTTTTCGATTTCGTCCATGCGACTCGATTTCGTCCCACAGCCCGATTGGGAGCTGCGGCTGGATCGGCACGCGCCTGCATAGTTGGCGTCGACGCGGCGTGTGCGACGGCGGTGCCGGGCGGGACAACGCGGGGGCGTAGGGCGCGACCCGGGCGGGCGGCGACCCGCTTGGGTCCCGGCCCGGAATCCGCCCGCGGGTATTTTCGCCGCCACGTGCGCGCCGCGGCACGCCGACCCTCCCTCCGCGCCGGCGGCGTCGCCGGCAGCCCGGCCAACAGCGCGCCGCCGCCTTGCCGTAGGACAGGGGTTGTGGGCGTTGCCTAGGATGAGGAAATTTTACAAAGTGACCATCATGCAGGATTGTTAGTTATGCTGGCCGTTTCTAATAATTATGTGGTTCCTAAAATCTATAAGTTGTGTTGTAAATATCGTTCTGCTGTTGTAACAAAGACCCTAGCCCTTGTAAGAAAATGAGAACAAAGGCACGAGGCATGGGTGGTTGAGTAAAATCGAAAGACTTTTGTTTTCAATTTGTGTATTAGGCCCCAATATCTTTATATAGATGTTGTGGTGAGTTATCGTTGGCATTTCTAATGAAACAATTATATGCGTCGTTTCTAATGAAATAACTATATGCGTATATTGTTGGCAATGACGACGTACATAATTATTTCCTAATATCTTTGTATCATATTAGCTGTAGAGTCCAGAAATATTCACAATGAAAATACATTCATCTTTTGTGTGCAACGTTTCCATTTGTTCATGTGATCATTGCACTTTCGAAAGTAACGTGAAATATCGGCTATCTTGATTTGCGCCAAAATGCCTCAGTTGTAATTATGTAAATGTCAAAATATTTAAGTGATTAGGTGGAATACAGGCGTTATGGTCTTAGCCTCGCTAGAAATAAATTATTATTATTATTTTTAAATTGTCGAAAGTGGATTAATCGTATTGATGATAATTTTGTAAGAAATCTCCAAATATTTTCTGAAAGTTATTCTTTGTATGTGCTTAATACTAATTTCGTCTGTTGCAGGTGAGGAATTATTGCAGCAGCGGAGGAAAACAAACTATGCGGAGCAATGTGAGTTTTCAAACTGGTCATCTTGTCTGCCTGTGCAGAATTCAAAATTAAAGTGAATCACTTCCGATTATTATTTAATGGACAACTAGAAAATGACACGTATGCGTGATAGTTATCAAATGTTGGAATAGTGTCAATTCATTTTAGCAGTACCTACCTGTTAATTTATAATTCCAACATTGCTGCAGAAGATTGTTGGTTCTTTGATGTGCAATCTAGCCTTTAATTAGTGCCATATTAATGACAACCGTTGGCACCTTACTACAGTGTCCACTTGTTTTCCGAAATTCTTACGCAAATTGAATGGTGTTAATCACGCGCTATCTTGCTATGGTTCCTCAAACTGTAAAAAGCAGGTTTGTGCATTCATCTGGCTGAATTCGATCTTAAATACTTCGTTCTCCGCACTGCGTCAGCCACAGAAGGTGCTTGCGCTACTGAAGTCCCAACTTCCCCCTTCTCCAACTTTATTCCTCCCTCTTCTTCCACCCTCCTCCTCCTCCTCCTCCTCCTCTTCCTCCTTCGTTCTTCCTCCTCCTCCTCCTTCGTCCTTCCTCCTCCTCCTCCTCCTCCTCCTCCTCCTCCTCCTTCCTCCTCCTTCGTCCTTCCTCCTTCCTTCTTCTCCTTCCTCCTCCTCCTCCTCCCTCCTTCCTTCTTCTCCTTCCTCATCCTCCTTCCTCCCTCCTCCTTCCTCCTCCCCCTCGTTCCTCCTCCTCCTTCCTCCTCCTCCACCTTCCTTCTTCTCTCTCCTCCTCCTCCTCCTCCTTCCTCCTGCTTCCTCCTTCCTTCCTTCTTCTTCTTCTTCTTCTTCTTCTTCTTCATCTCTTTTCTTCTAAAGGCAAATATTGATGGATCTCACTCTGCCCCTTTTATTTGGTCTTAAAATTCTATTACCTCGAACAATCGTAACGTTTGTGCTATTCCGCTTTTTCGTTCGTGTTGTTGTGTATCTGATACGAGTACGTTCTTTGTCATTAAAACACGTTATGTCACATGCATAACTCGTACTGTGTAAGGAATAACATTTTTGAGCGTCTGCATCATCTTAAGCCATTCTCTCAGCTGACTAAAATATTTTTTCTTTGTTCTCTAAAATGTATCAACCCTAACGGCGATATGGCAGACATTTGTTAAATTATTTAGACTTTTGAAAATGGAATGGGAACGTCGGTAGACTCGGCTAGGAAAAGAGGCCAAAGGTCAGAGACCGGGCCGCACGCAAAGTCCTTTCGGTGTGCTTCAGTTGGAGTTGAATAGCCCGAAGGAAGAAGGATGTAATACCATACCGATAAACTTCTCATCCTTTTTTAAATAAAAAGTAGGCCGTGCAAATTCCACATGTATTATCAATATGTCAAAAAATTTAACTTTCATAATATATAATTTTGTGTAATTTCAACATTTTCTGTTGGGGTATAAAATGGTATAAATAAATGTATTGAGAAATACGGAGGTTTGCAATTTCCTTCCATGTCATGAAAATGTATCGGGTCGCAAACCTAAGTAATTAGGAATTCGTTTTCCATGGGGAAAATGCAGGAAACGTATTTATAGCGAATCGTGCTCAGGGGATGAGGTTACGGGCATGGGCGCCCTTGATGCTAGCACCCGGAGGCAGGCATTTGAAGGAACGACGGGTGGGGGCTCGGGGGACGCTCGACATCGATCGACGCGCGTCTGGCTGCCGTCTGGACGCAACGTCGATATGGCGCCGCATTACCTGCAAGCCGCCCCGTCACCGCGCCGCGCCGCATCACGAACCCCTTCGGACCCCTGCAGACACGCGTCGCCCCGTCTTGCCTTTCTCGATTTCTCCGCAACATGAACCAGCGAAAACACATGGACGCTACCCTGTTGTTCTGTCACCTGGTGGGACGTTACTACGGACAATAGTAAGTAAAGTATACTTTTTTTTAAAACTTCCCAAGATGGGGATTTTATTAGTCGAATGTGGAGACTGTCAGAAAACTATGAGCGTCGTGGGCCTGTTGCAATTTGAAATTGGGTATCATCTTGCTTTCGCCTTTCTGTCATTTCATGGCCATCGTAATGAAGAATCCATTCCCTCAGACTTTGGTCTCATTACCTCATCCCCGGCTTGGATTTGCCCCACTGCGAGGCAATTCTTGCACCAACTGCTTTATGAAAACATTTCGTCTTGTTTGGTACTTTCAGTGAATTGGTTCAGATCAAAACTGTTGCTGATCTACTTTCTCCTTTTTTTAAAACTATTTGGAGTTTAATCACGATTGAATAATGGATTTTCAGAATAATTTATTGTTATTTCGTATTTGTTTGATGAAATTAGAACCTAAGAATACCCATCTGTGCTTTCTTAAAATGTTCCAATATCTCGTAAATTTAGGAAATGTCAATTAGCATCAGTCAACAAATATATATTTCATAACTCTAAGTTTCTTCGTCTTGTCCCGCAATCCACTTCTCCTTGCAGACTTAACTTCATTCCTCCCGACACGAAGTCATTCCAGTTTACGACCAATGTCCTCGCTACCGCACACGCGCATTACATCTTACATTTCTCGTCACTCTCCTCTTTACGATTACCAGCGTTGTCATCACTAGTTTAACTGCTCTTATAGCAATCTCTCATTGCTTTTAATTCTTTCGCAGCCTTCAGTACAATTTTAGTTTCCACCCTCAACACTGGTCAGTGGACAATCTCAAATGACTGCCAATATGAAACCTGATTTAAGCGACCACCAATTGTTCCAGCCAAAATTTGCCGTCATTAGAGGTGGCCGCTTAATAAAGGTAACGAGGTTAATGGTAGTGGAAATCAAATTAATTGTTCTAATTGCTATCGAATACCCTCTATTCTCTTTAACATTTACAATTTTTATACTGACAAAATACACTTTTAACAGGGAATTTAGGTTCATTTGCATCTGTTCGGCTAATATCGAAACATTCTTGATTAATAATTTGTTATTGTAGGTGACCGCTTCATTGAGGTGGTCGTTTGATTAGGTTTTACTATATTTTTGCTTGTTACACTCTGCAAGTCGAACCCTTTCTCCTATCTCCTCCATATTGTTTAATTCAGTAATCTGCATCACACTATTTTTATTGCGCTTTTTGAAGTAAATTTATTTCTGTCTTTTTAATTCAGAAGATCAAAAGAGTAGAAAACTGGAAAGCTGAAATGCAGCGATCCCAGAATCTACAAACTGCTGCACCTGTAGAGAACAACTAACAAAACTTAGAAACTTTTACCTCAAATAATGTTTTCCCAAACGAAGGAGAATTAAGAAGCATTCTCAAGTTGCCGGAATACCATTGACACTTTCAGGTGGATGAAGCGTTTGAAGGGTGCTGTAAAGCTAATTACTTCCTGGAAGAAGCTGTTCGCGACGTGTCTACGTCGTCTTCGTCTTCGTCGTCTTCGTCTTCGTCTCCATCCCGCCTTGTGCTTCGGTTGCTACCGCCGCACACAGCACATACCATAGGACCACTGTTTCTTGACCCGCACATGTTCCGACACAACGCCTCGACTGATTCCGCACCTCTTTTCTTTTACCGCCCCAAGCTTCCCCTGCCGCGTGTCCCTGGCCCAGCCTCCCTGTTTCCGTCCCGCCTTCGCTTCCTGTCTCCCGCCGCCCTAAGAGATCCTCCTCCGCGGACCGGCTCCGCCTCTCTGATGCGTTATCGGAGCGTGTTCAGCGAGTCGCCCGTTTTTCTTCGCCGGATACCAACGCCGCTCGCATGCGGCGGTTTAATTGCTTCCTCGAGGGGCCTTAGAGTAACGCATGCGTGGCTGTTGCACTCGGCACTCTTAGAAGACTAGTCGATGGCTTACTCAGGAAGGCGATTTTTAGATCCCCTTCGTCTTGTTACTCATCAGAAAAACGAATTCCGGCTTTGCATACTTGAAATACTTGCTCTGAGCCTCCCGTGGCTGAACATTAAATCATAAGGTGTCAAATGAAACTTGTTTTAGAGAGGAACAGGAAATGGGACAATTGCTATGAATGTGAACATAAGCATTCCTGAAATTCAATGATGCATTTTGAACACCTCCAGGAAATTTGTACCGACAAAACGTTTTTGACTTGTAATGCTTATTATTGCAAATTTTGCGTTTTATTCATTGTTATTAAAATTTGTTAAATTTGGCAAGTCTTGATTTGCTGCCGACGGTTTCTTATCGCAAATTTGAGAATTATAAATGGATACTGTGTATTCATGTATGCATGATTCAATCACGAAATTCAATAAACTATTTGGTGAATAGTCTTTAGTTTAAGTAATATCTTCAAAAGAATAGTTAAGAACAATATGATTACATTGCAAAAATAAATTAGTACCTGCGAAAGCACTGGTCTGGTGCGTTCTTTTTGTGGAACGTTCTGTATTTTTTACTTTTAAATGAAAAGAACCTTGTGTAAAAATCGATGTTTTCGCTCTTCTCCAACTCAGTTTTTCCCTTCGAAATCGCGCGAATGCCCGTGGTAGGTGCGCCGTCCCTATGTATGTATTGACGACCGAATTTCGCAGCTCGTGCGCGCCATTGTTTAAAACAGTTGTAAAAATCCTGTTTGATGACTTGGAGTTCAAGGACGGACGGCTGCAGTGGCGGCAGAGTAGGAGGAAGATTCTCGGCCCGGCGTTCTCCTCTTTTATGTGGGCTGGTTTGGGCAGGTGGAACTTGCATATTCCGTTTTAGGGAAAAAGAAATCGCGTTGTACCTCCTTTCAACCACCCTTTGTCGCGGTCGAGCGGTCTGTCCCTTTGGAATATTGCTGGAACTAAAATACTTCGAAGATATGTATTACGAAGCGTTAAAAGAATATTCCGATCAGTAATTGTTTTGCTGTATCTTAACACTCTTTCAAGAGATTGTCGGAGTTATTGCCTTTCTCGTTTTTCGTACTAGTTCATAGTTACTTATGATTATGAATCTCATTCATTTCATCTTCTTAAATTGCAATAATTATGAAGAGAGAACGATCAAATTGGAAATAAGACGTGTATTATCGATGGCATAAGAGGCAGGCACTTTTGAAGATACTTTTTAACCGAAACCAGCCTTTGCACT